GTCATTCCTGTTTGGCAGATGAGGGGACGGAGGCACAGGGATGTTAAGTAACATGCCCAAGATCACTTTAAATGGCGGAGCCAGGATTTTCCTAAGCGTACAGTTCAGGGATTTTTTAGTAGACTTACAGGGTTGTGAGGCAGAGCCAGTATTTGAGCCCAGGCAGGCGGGCTCCAGAGCCCACACTCTTGGCCGGCTTGCTGAATTAACTCTGTGGAAGGAGGCAGTCCCAGGGTGGCTTTGACTTGAGGGGCATCTGCATGGGGAACACCACCCACACACTTCCTCCCCCAAGGGGAGACCTCAGACAAGCCTCCCAGGCACTTCCTCTACCTTTTGCCTGGGCTGAGCAGGCTGCTGGTGGGGATCAGTCCCTCTAGGGAGAAAAGAGGGGTATGGTACCCTGTCGCCTCCCGCCAATTGTGCCTTCACCAGCCTGGGCAGGGCTGGAGCCCAGGGGACATTTCCTCCCGGTCCCCAGGGTAGGGCTGGGCCTCCAGCTGACTCAGCATGGCTGCGCCTGCCCACAGAGGAGTGGAAAACAGCATGCACCAGGCAGGCTGGCTCCCCAGTGTTTCTGGGGTGTTCCTTGGGATGCTGGTGGGCGTGGCGGAGGTCCTCCTCCCTGCTGTGCTTAGGACTGGGAAGGGGTGGGACCGGTATTGGTGATTCTGTGATGGGATGGAGATGCCAGACCTGCCTTGGAGTTCTATCTCTGCCAGTAATTCTGGGCTAGCCACACTCTGGGTTTCAGTTTTTTCTTCTGTTAAGTGGGAATGGCGTCCAGACTGCCTGTAGGGTGACTGCATGAAGTGGTATATATGGCAGTGCTTTGAAGAGCATTAAAAAGAAAAACTCTAAAGCAAGGATTGGCAAACTATGGCCCTGGCTCCATTCTGGCCCATGGCCTGTTTTTGTGAATAAAATTTTATTAGAACATAACCAACTATGCCCATCATTTACATATGGTCTATGGCCGCTTTCATGCAAAGTTGAGTAGCTACAAAAGAGACTGTATGGCCTGCGAAGCCTTTTGGTAAGTTCCCGGGGGACGGGGGAGGCCGCGCGGGGAGCGGCTGGCGGCGCTGCCTCCCTCCCGGGAAGGCGGGAGGCGGGAGGGGCAGGGACGCGTTGGAACCTGTGCACCGGCCGAGAGGGAGCTGCCGGAAGGGGAGGGGGCGCCGGGTGTCTGGAAGGGCCGTGGTGGTGAGAGGCGCAGGGAAGGAGGGGACACCCCCCTCGGCGAGGTGGAAGAACTTTGCCGCCCCGCGTCTGATCCCAGTCCCTCTCAGAGGTGTTTGTTTTCTCTCCTTGGTGCTACTGTTTGGAAAGGCTTCCTGAGGTTTGCAGTACCTGCCCCCACCATGCAGAGTCAGAGGTGCTCCTGGAGAACTGGGGGCTGGGGGTGGTCCCATCGCTCACCCTTTCCGCTTCCTCTGTTCTCCCCAGCCCTGCCGCCGGCCCTCCTGGCCCAGAGTCTCTGCGTGGCAGAGAACTGGCTGCCACCTGGGCGCCCACACACTAGGCTCGGTACAGGTGAGGCCAGGAAGAACGAACAGGAGCCACTGCTAGCAGGTTACCAGCCTGTTTGGGACACCAAGTCCCGCTCTTGCCGGGTCAACCTGGGCCTGGACTGTCTCTGGGCTCAGACTGAGGAGCCAGAGCTGAGACAGTGGAGGCCAAGGACCCCTCTCCCTGAGCCCTGAATCACAGCACCGTGTGCAGAGCACTCTGCAGGCATCTAAAAACACCACTGCGGCCCAGCGCAGGCCCTGGCCATGGGTCACCTTATCACTGCATCTGTCTGCAATTTGTACTCTCTATAACTGAGGGAAGCCAGGCGGGTCCGGACAGGGATCCATTTCTTGTTATGACCTGTGGCTCTGGGCCTGGGGTAGGTGTGGGACTTCCGAGCAAAAGGAAGGTCACCCATCACTGCTTTAGCACACCTGCCCTCGTCACCACCGCCTTATCTTCACTGACCTTTACGGCCACTGTGCTGGGACCCACAGAGGATGTGACGGCCTGGGCCCCTGCTGTCAGAGTCGCCTCAGCACCCAGGAAGCCACAGTCATGATACATGGATAGGAGCAGGACGAACAAGATGTTGCCTCTGCCTGGCCCAAGGATCTCAGGCCGGCGGGTGAACAGAGCTGACCATATGCGATTTAGCCCTCTCTGAGCCTTTGCTAGAAAAGATT